CAACACCATTCACAAAATTATTATAACCTGGTGAAAGTGTATTACGTGAAAATAACAGACTCACAAAGATTCCCGAACAACTGTTTCAAAATAACTTCATTAAAAAAAAAATTAAAAAAAAAATATTTTACACCATACATAGATATAAAAAAATAAATAATCATACACAATAAATTTACAAGAATAACCGTTACGACAAGAAATAAATTCAAAAAAACCTATAATTTCTCCAATAATAAAAAATAACAGAACTATTCCGAACTTCATTTGTTTGTTAAATGATCCAAGTATAACAACACATTCAAACAAGATCAACGAATGTTTTTACACGACTTCTTCTCTAACAGACATTATCACAAACCATAACCAATCAACAACCTCACATTCCATAATTTCATAATTAACTCTTCAAACCCCATATTTGCAACATATCAAATATACGGATACAAATTCAGATGATGAAAATAATATTTGAATCCCAATGGATTCAGAATCACATTTATATATTACTCTACATTAACATTATTAGCTTACAGATATACCCATAAATAATTATGCATAATTAATAATGGATAAATCATCAACAATCTTCATAGCAAACACGTTTGTATATAGCCAAGGAATAACAAAAAATGATTACCATTGCATTATTAACAAATTCAAAAACGAAACAGAATTCAACCATTCACAACACTCACACATTTTTCATTCCAATAAACATAAACAATACTCATTGGACACTTGGATATTTAAATTTTGAAACACAAACTGTATATTACTATGACAGTTTCTCCACTACTGATACAACATTTTTCTCGAACATCAAACAATGACTATCTAGTGTAACAGATTATTTACGCATATTACAACATGCAAAAACACATATCTTACAGGGATCACAACAAACTAATTCACACGATTGTGACGTTTTTATTCTCGTTATGCTTCGACATTTTATGCTACCTACTCACTTTCACATATCATTGATTTCTTTCAAAAATACATGCCTCTATGTATGACATTCATTCATAACGAACTTTGCTTTTACACACTCAACAAAACTACACCACACCCACAATTTACAACCACCAATCCACCACAACTACTTTGTCAAACATAATCAATAAATATTAATTACATATAAAACATCGCTAATCATTAACACCTCTGTCAACACAGATCACAACCACAGTCGATCACTCGACTCCAAGCTATATGGACAGCAAGATTTAAGATTCACCAACTCAAAACCAAGTACAAATAAAGGTATGTCAAATATTCATATAACCTTCAAAACACCAAGTACCTCTTTAACCTCCTTACTCCCCCCCCCTCCCCCCCTCCACTCTTTATGTGTCTCTCTTTCTCTCTCTCTCAACCTCTCTTTCACTATACCTTTGTGACAATCTATATATCTATATTGCAGTGAAACTCCGCCAAAATATACTTTTTTTTTTTTTTTGAAGTCAGTGCCTGCCCGTGTGCTCCCCCTCTAACATGGTGCATGTTGCATGACTCTCTCTCTCTCTCTCTCTTACACACACACACACACACACACACACACACACATACACACACACACACGCACACACACACACACACACGCACGCACACACAAGGAAGGCGAACATTTTTATGTTTCGGGGCTTAACAACACACACACACACACACACACACACACACACACACACACACACACACACACACA